ACACCCTGCTTGACAAGATAGTCCTTGAGAGCACGACGTGCATTGCCTCGTACATCCTTTCCATCGTATCAGGAACTCGACGGTCTTGCTGCCGCGGCGCCGATGAGTGAGAACGCGCTCGATCTCGTACTCTGGTTCATCCTGTACGAGTACAGGTGGTGGTGGCGGTAGCTGCCGTCCCTGGGACTATTGGTTGGGGTCCTTGTAGGTCTTCGGTAGCTGAACATGGAAAGCGTTGTGAAGCTTCCACATAGTAGGTAAGCGCAAGCGGAATGTAACTGGTGTCACCTGTGCCTCCACGAGAAATGGACCACAGAAGCGAGGCCGGAGTTTGGATGGTAGGTGAGACAGGTTCAAGTTGCGCGTGTCAAGAAGCACCTGATCTCCGACTGCTACTGAGTGATCTCGTCGCTGTCGATCGGCATACTGCTTCTGGGAGTTCTGCATCGTGGTGAGGCGCCGTTGAGTCTTCTCCCATAGCTGCTGCATGGTGGTGACGAAGTCGTGTGCGGCTTGGACGTGTGCCAGTGTGGTTGGCTGCTGTGGTGTGAGTGGTTCCCATCCGTAGCACATGAAGAAATGTGTTTTCCTTGTGGCCGCATGTGAGGCGGTTTTGTAAGCGAACTCAAGTGTCGGTAACTGTAAGTCCCAGTGGCTGATGTCGTCTTTGCAAGCTGTGTGGAGTAACGGTTCAACCACCTGATTGAGTCGTTCCGTCTGCCCGTCAGTCTAGGGATGGTATGCTGAAAACATCGCAAGCGTAGTCCCAACAATCCCATGAGCTCCTTCCAGAACTTACTAGTGAACTTGGGATCTCTGTCTGAGATGAGTGTAGCGAGGATGCCGTGGATGGTGATGATGCGATCGAAGAAGAGGCGAGCATTTGCTTCAATTGTAGCCGTGGCGTTGGTCGGGATGAAGTGACCCATTTTGGAGAACTTATCGATCACTACGAGGATAGAGTCATGCCTTCGTGAGGTCGAAGGAATCCATGTGATGAAGTCTAAGTTAACGACCTGCCATGGCTGCTCCGGTACAGGTAGAGGCTGAAGTAACCCTGCTTTTTTCTGCTTGCTACTCTTCATCCGCTGGCACGTGTCGCATGAGGTGACGAACTGCTGCACGTCTGCTATTCCCGCTAACGTCTTGTTGCTCCTGAAATGTCCCGCGTATGGTACGTCGTGAAACGTCTCTAGTAGGATCTGCCGGAGCGGGGCATAGTTCGGTACCCAAATTGCTCATGTTTCCTTCCTTGCAGCTAAGTATTTCTCCCACTATAACAACTTTTGTTTCTCTGCCGTTGCTATCTCTGCGTCCACGGAGTACCCATGTTGGAATAGACCCTTGAGGAGAGGGTTCATCCTGTCGAGGTGGATGCCTGCTACATGGCCGGGGCGGCCCAGCGCGTCTACTTCGTTGTGGAGCCCTGGCTTGTAGACGATGTCGTAGTGGAAGTGAGTTTCCAGGAAGTCCACCCACCGCACCTGTCGTCGTGAGAGCGTCGGCTACGACTTAAGGTACTTGAGGCTGCAGTGGTCAGTGTAAACTGTAGTCTTGGCTCCCTCTAAGTAACACCTCCACGCCTTGAAGGCTACGACTATGGCTAAGGCTTCCTTGTCATGAATGGGGTAGTTCAGTTCTGCTCCGTGTAGCTTTTTACTGAGGTAGGCGATACGCTGCAAACCGCGTCCGTAATCCTACATCAGTACTGCTCCGACTGTTTCGTCACTAGCATCTGCTTCCACCACGTAGTCCTTGTCTGGGTCTGGTAGGATGAGTACTGGTGTTGTGGTCAGTGCTATCTGTAGCTGTTCCATGGCTTGTTGATGAGGAGTATCCCATTTGAAGGGCGTATCCTTTTTCAATAGATCGGTCAGTGGCGCAATTATCTTAGCATACTGCGTTACGAACCTGTTGTAGTAGTTGGCGAAGATTAGGAACTAATGCAACTCTTTCACATTCTCCGGTACTATCCACTTTTTAACGGCTTTGATCTTCCGCGGGTCTACGTGTACGCCCTCGGCACTCACCATGTGCCCGAGAAACTGCACCTTCTTTAGTGCGAAGTCGCTCTTCGACAGCTTCACGTAGAACTTATTTTTCCGCAGGATCTCGAACACCTTCCGTAGATGCTCCACGTGCTCCTTCATGTTCTTGGAGTAGATGAGTATGTCGTCCAGGTACACCACCACGCACTCGTCCAGCAGGGGCCGTAGGATATGGTTCATCTCCACCTTGAACGTCGCTGGTGCGTTGCAGAGTCCGAACGGCATCACTAAGTACTCGTAGGAGTCGTATTTGGTACGGAACGTCGTTTTGTGTATCGAGTTGTCTGCCATCTTGATCTGCCAGTAACCCGACCGTAGGTCCAGCTTCGAAAAGACTGTTGCACCACGCAGTTGGTCCATCGAGAAGGTTGTCTATGCGCGGTATGGGATATTTGTTTTTTACTGTCTGTTTGTTCAGTGCACGGTAGTCGATGCACATCCGTAAACTACCGTCTGGCTTCGGAGTAAAGAGAACTGGTGCACTGTAGGGAGAGGTGGATGGTGCACTGTAGGGAGAGGTGGATGAGGTAGATATTCGATCTGCTTCTTCATGTCTGTCAATTCTGTCGGACTTAGTCGGTATGGTGCACGTGAGATAGGTTTCGCACCTGGTTCTTCCACAATCTCGTGCTCGTGGGTGCGTGCTGGAGGTACGCCTGCGGGTAGGTCGTCAGATATTATATCCTTGTACTGCTCCAAGACCTCCTTCACTTCTGCAGATAGCTCCGAAATCGGCTTCTCTTCCTCTGCTGTTGCCATGACCAGTGCTAAGTAACCCATGTAACTCTTGTTCACCGTCCATTCGAACCATGCCAGTGTCGTTTCAGGAACATTCCCTGTAGCCGTCCAGCTTCTCAGCTCCACATGTTTCCAGTTGTAATAGATGCACGCCTTCCGGTTGACCCAGTCAATCTCAAGATTAAACCGCTTCAGGAAATCCCGCCCAAGATGAAATCTTATCCTTTTATGTTGGTGACTGGTAGCTTCGGCTTCCACCTCAATGCACCAATATGCAGCAGCAGCGATGATTCGCCGTGGATGGGAAGCTTCATACCGTCCACCATTGTTGCTGAAAAAAGGTCTTCTCCGCCTTCTCTCCAATTTCTCCAATGTCTCACGGTCACACACCAAGTGGGACGCAGCCCTATCCACTAGCGTCTGGAGGCGTCGCCCATTGCAGATCACCTCGAGGAGTAGTGGCTGCTGCCGCTCCGAGTAGCTGTAGATGGTGTTGCTTACAGGATCATAGAGAACGTCGAATAGGTCATCCCTAGGTCCTGCGCTCGAAGCTGCTGTCTCAATATCTATTTTCATCTGAGAAAGGTTACAAAGATTTATCCGAGGCAGATTCAGCTTCGTCTTGGCCTGGAACCTTCCCCTAAGCCGTTGCAGCTGTGTAGGCTTCTCCTGTGGGCAATGGGGAGCCTTAACACTGTGCTGCGGGGAGAGAATGTTAATTCTGTGGAACGTACGACCCTTTTCAACGCTCCGGAGTGGTTTGCCCAACTTCTCAGGTACCTGAATAATCTCTAAGGGCTTTTTGTTAGCCTCCAAATCTCCCCTGAAGGCTTGAAAATCACGAGAAGTAATATTCTTAGTTAAAGTATCTTTATAGGATAATTCTAAAGAATTCTTACTTTCGTGGGTGTTTTGCGGAGCCTCTATTTGTCTCGTCGATTTCCCCTGGTGCCGGCCTGTTGTGACGTTTTAAATTCGCTCCATCGTGATCGCCAGGTCGATCCACGACTACTGGCGATGCTCGGTTTTTTACTTCAAGGGTGCCGCACTGTTGTTGCCCTGCAGCTCTGCTCGTGCCTTCTTCATTTTCCAACACGCCAAGAGTCGATGTCCTGCTGCGCCGCAAAATTCACATTTCTCGTATTTTGTCAGCCGCTGCTTCGTGTCGATCTTGTCGATATCCATCGGGTCGGCGGTCGTGGGTGGTGCCGATCGCTCCGTGTTGAATGATCTGTTCAGCACGTGGTGTCGTGTCTCGACTTGACCTCGTGTCAGCGCATCGAATCTCTCTGCTGCACACACCATGTCGCGGTAGTTGTTGTAGTTCGCGGCAATCACAGTTGGCGGTCTTCCATTTTTAGCCCCTCAGTATACGCTTGGATTTTTTTCCGCTCGGTCATGTCTGTAATCCTGTCGAAGTGGCTTTCCATCTGCTGCGTATACTGTGTAACACTGCTGTAATATTCATGCTGATAAATCTGCTACCGCGCCATGTAGCTAGAATTTATTAGTTCGAAACGTTGAATTAAAGCTGCCCAAAACTGCGTCCATGACCCCTCGCCTCGGATCTCATTACTGTTGTAAATCCACTCGAGCTCCGGTCCTCGCAACAGTGTCGCTGCGAGCCGAATCCGCATTGCATCGTGTGTCGGGGTCGTACAGCCAACGGCCTCGAAATAAATTTCGGGGGTCACAATGAATCGATGGACGTCGGTATCTCGCATTCGGATTGAACGTCTCCGGTAGCCTCGGACGTGCCGCCTCAAGATTCACTGTGGCTGCTGCTGAGTAAAGTGTCAGTGTCGCCGCTGTTGCTGCTGCTGCTGCTGCTGCTGCTGCATTCACTGCTGCATTTGCTGCTGCTGTGGCGACTGCCGACTGGTTCGCGAGAAGCTCCTCAATTTGTCGGAGTGCCGCTCGCACCTGGTCCACGTCGGTGCGTAACTCCGTAATTTTCCGTACAAAATTATCACTATTTTCTAGGCGCTGGTCGACTTACTGCGATTCGAATCGACCGTAGAAATGACGAGCGCTGATTCTGTTAGTCGCGTATTTCTCCCTTCCAAAATTCGCGTCCCATCTCGGCCGTTGAGCTGAAATTCGATCCGACACTCTAAATTCCAACTTTTTTGGGCGAAATTCCTAGGGCCGTTGATGTTTGAATCGATCCAACGATCGAAATTTCAACTTTTTCGCCACTGAATCTGAGGAGCGTTAAAAAACCTGTTCGAGGGGGGCGATAATTAAAAAAAAAAAAAACAAAACAAAACAAAACAAAAACAACAACAACAACAACAACAACAACAACAACAACAACAACAACAACAACAACAACAACAACAACAACAACAACAACAACAACAACAACAACAACAACAACAACAACAACAACAACAACAACAACAACAACAACAACGGAACTGGTTTACACACCCGAAACCGGCGCTTTCGTCATCGTCCCCGCGGTTTTAAAATCTAGGTTTTAGCAGTCGGAAAACTTCGCATGAAAACAGGCTCTGATTACCAAGTGTGAGGATCGAGGATCGAGTTCAGGAAAGAAAGTTGAATTGATTGATGTACCAAGGTACAACATGAGACTATATGTCAAACATTGCATGTTTATATTGTCTAGGCTGTAGTGGGTTACACCTTAGGGGGTACACAAAGTTAGGGTTTCCTACTTGTACCAAACTCTGTTCTAGTTCATTCATTCCTGCTCAGTTATTTCTGACATGGTTTCAGAGCAGGTCCTTCGCTAGGACTGTTCTTAGGGCCCACCGACTTACCTACCTGCTTACCTTCGCTTGTTTCCGGCCCCGATGGCCCCGTCGATCTAGCACGATCTAGCGGCCCTGCGGCCCCTTCGAATTTTTTTTTTTCCTAGCGGCCTCTCACGGCCCCCGTCGCGTCGCCCCTTAGCGCCCCGATCGGCCCCGTCACGCCGCCCGCGAACCGCACAGCGCGCCGCGCTCACAGCCCGCGAACCGCCCACGCACAGCCCGCGAACCGCCTGCGCAGCCCGCGACCAGCCCGCGCAGCCCGCGCACAGCCCGCGAACTGCCCGCGAGCAGCCCGCGACCTGCCCGCGAACCCCCGCGAGCCGCCCGCGACCCGCTTACGCAGCCCGCGAGCAGCCCGCGCAGCCCGCGCTGAGCCTGCGCGGCTCTTGCGCTGACCGCCGCCGGCCCGCACGCTGCCCGCGCAGCTCACATACGGCCCGCACGGCCCGCGCGCTGCCTGCTCCCGGCCCGCCACTGCTGAGACCGCCGCCGCCCGCGCACCGCTGCTGCTGAGCCCGCCGCCGCCCGCGCACCACCGCTGCTGCGCCCGCCGCCGCCCGCGTATCACCGCTGCTGAGCCCGCCCCTGCTGCGCCGGCTCTCGCTGCCGCCTGCTGCGCCTGTGCACCACTGCAGATCCTACTATTACTGCTTCTACTACTGCCGCTGTCGCTATGGCTAGTCCTCCTGTTCTAGCTTTCGACGCCGAGGGCCGTCCGGTCAAATTCGAAACCTGGCTAGATGACCTGCACCTTTTCCTACAGCTCACTGCCAAGGAAGATATTACACTGTACGACCACGCTCTCGGCCATGCGACCGCCCCACTCGCTACTGCCCCCCCAGCTGAGCGCTCACAGTGGCAGACCCGTGACGCGCACGCTCGCTTTGCTATTCGCAACTCCCTGCCGCTAGATGAGCGCGAGCACTTCGGCCAGTGCAAGACTGCTAAGGACCTCTACACAGCTGTAGTGGCCCGCTACTCCTCACCCGCTTCTGCCACGCTAGGCCGCCTCACTCTCCCCTACCTGTTCCCCGACCTAGCCTCCTTTCACACTGTCGCAGACCTCATCACCCACCTTAAGACTAGTGAGGCTCGCTTTCGCGCTGCCATGCCTGACGAGTTCCTCGCTAGCAACCCCCCCCCGCTCTGGATCACTCTCTACCACGTTGTCACCCGCCTCCCTGACTCTCTGCGCCCTGTCAGGGACCAGTTCCTCTCTCGCTCCCCCACTGAGCTCACCGTAGACCTCCTCGAGAAGGAACTGCTTGCAGCCGAGGCTAGTATCGTCGCTGTAGGCACCTCTCGTGGCGACCCCCGCGGCCCCTTCTTCGAGGGGTGCTCCCCTTCCCCCCTCCTCCCCTCTGTCGCATCTGCTGCTGCTGTCGACCTCCTTGGTGCTGAGAAGGTCGGGGCTGCGTCTGCTTCAGGCGGACGACGCAGGGGCAGGAGTGGCAGGAGTGGGGGTGGTGGCGGAGGAGGCGGAGGTGGAGGTGGTGGCGGTGGAGGTGCGACTGGAGAGGCTAGTGGCGGCAGTGGTGGAGGTGACAGCGGCGTTGGGAGTGGTGACAGGGGCGGAGGTGGCAGCGGAGGCGGAGGTGGTCGTGGCAGCGGCAGGGGTGGAGGTGGCCGGGGCGGAGGCGGAGGGGGTGGTGGTCGTGGAGGCCCGGGGGGCGGTCAGAGTCAGCAGCCTGCCCCGACCCTTCAGGCCGCCCGTGAGTGGTATGCGCGGCGCAGCGTCACCTGCCAGTACGTTATTCGTACAGGTGACCGCACTGGCCAGACGTGTGGGGGGCCGCACCAGACGGAGCGCTGCTTCGCCCGCCTCAACGATGCGTGGCGCACCCAGTTTCCTGGTGGGGGTGAGCTGCCGCGCTGGGCTGAGCTGCTCAGGAAGGGTGTTGATATTTGGGCACTAGACTTTGATGCTATTCTCACTGCCATGTATGCGATGTCTATTAGTGGAGAGGGTGCTCAGTACTTGCGTGTTCCGCCCGACCCGGGTATTCAGGCCAGCCCCGCTGCTGCTCTAGGTGCTAGTGTGTCTGCTTCCACAGGTACTACTGCAGCTGCTGCTCTAGGTGCTTGTGCGTCTGTGCCCCCTGGTACTGAGTCGACTGCAGCACTGCACACCTTCACACTGGACTCAGGTGCTTCTCGCTCTTTCTTTCGTGACCGCACTGTCCTTGAGCCTCTAGCTCGGCCGGTTGCTGTCTCTCTTGCTGACCCCTCTGGGGGTCCGGTCCTTGCGACCTCCTCCACCACCCTTCCGTGTCCAGCGGTTCCGTCCGGCACACTCTCAGGTCTCTACCTCCCCTCGTTCTCCACGAACTTGGTGGCAGGTAGTGCGCTCCAGGACAGGGGTGTTCACCAGTTCACCCCTGCCTACGAGCGTGTGACTCACTGCACGTGTGCTCGGACGGGCCGCCACCTAGCTACTTTCACTCGAGAGCCGGGGTCTGACCTGTACACACTGACCACTGAGTCCCCTCAGGTAGCTGCGTCTGCGTCAGCGTCAGGTCAGCTGTCCGCCCCCTGCTCGTGTCGCTCTCTGGCGAACGACACCGTCCTCTGGCACCACCGCCTTGGTCACCCGTCTGTGCAGCGCCTGCGGGCCATGCACAAACGGGACCTTGTTGCTGGTCTTCCCAGGGTGCTCCCTCCCCTTCCTGACTCCCCTGCTCCTGACTGCATTCCCTGTGTCGAGGGGCGGCAGCGCGCCGCTCCTCACTCCTCCTCCTTTCCCCCGACGACCGCTCCCCTGCAGACGCTCCACATGGACGTGTGGGGCCCAGCCCGCGTCCGTGGTCAGGGTCAGGAGAGGTACTTCCTGATAGTTGTTGACGACTACTCGCGCTACACCACGGTCTTCCCCTTGCGTGCCAAGGGTGACGTCCCTGGTGTTTTGATCCCCTGGATCAGCCGAGCCCGTCTCCAGCTAGGCGAGCGCTTTCACTCGGACTTTCCTGTCCTGCGCTTGCACTCTGACAGAGGTGGTGAGTTTGCCTCCGACCTCTTGGCAGCCTACTGTGCTGAGCACGGCATTGAGCAGTCGTACACGCTTCCGGCCTCTCCACAGCAGAATGGGGTCGCTGAGCGCCGCATTGGCTTGGTCATGGAGGTCGCTCGTACCTCCCTGACCCATGCGGCTGCTCCCCACTTTCTGTGGCCGTTTGCGGTCCGGTACGCAGCGCATCAGCTCAACCTCTGGCCCCGTGTCTCCTTGCCGGAGACTTCCCCGACTCTACGGTGGACGGGAGAGGTTGGCGATGCGTCGCGTTTCCGGGTCTGGGGATCTCGAGCTTTTGTCCGCGACACGTCCGCGGACAAGCTCTCGCGTCGCGCTGTTCCCTGTGTCTTTCTTGGCTTTGTTCCTGACGCGCCTGGATGGCAGTTTTACCACGTCACCTCGCGCCGGGTTCTGGCCTCTCAGGACGTCACTTTTGACGAGTCCGTCCCCTTCTACCGCCTCTTCCCCTACCGCACTGCCCCGCTCCCCCCCCCGCCTCTCTTCCTCGCTCCAGGTGCTGAGGTACCAGACCCCCTCCCCCCTCAGGGTGCCGCTCCCTCAGGTGTGTCCCAGGTAGACCCGGGTGAGCCTGTCGAGGTAGCTGTTGACTCTAGTCCTGCTAGGGGTGCTGAGCCTGGGGGTGCTGCGTCTGGGGGTGCTGAGCCTGGGGGTGCTGGGTCTGGGGGTGCTGAGCCTGGGAGTGCTGAGTCTGGGGGTGCGGAGCCTGGGGGTGCTGAGCCTGGAGGTGCGGAGCCTGGGGGTGCTGAGCCTGGAGGTGCGGAGCCTGGGGGTGCTGAGCCTGGAGGTGCGGAGCCTGGAGGTGCGGAGCCTGGAGGTGCTGAGTCTGGGGGTGCTGAGCCTGAGCGTGCTACACCTGGAGGAGCCCTCTCCTCCCAGCAGCTGCAGGAGAGGTACCTCGAGTACTGCCGCCTCCGGAGAGGTGCTTCTGGAGCTCGTCCCGGTACTTCCCCTCCTACCCAGGAGCTCCCCCCCATTCAGGTGATCCGCGAGTGGTACACGCGGCGCTGCAGTCTTCGTAGTGGTGCTCCTGGTGCTGCGGACCCGAGCGGTGGTGCTGTTGCTGGTGCTGAGGACCCGGACGCTGGAGCTGCTGCTGGTGCTGAGGACCCGGGGGCTGGAGCTGCTGCTGGTGCTGAGGACCCGGGCGTTGGAGCTGCTGCTGGTGCTGAGGACCCGACCGGTGGAGCTGCTGCTGGTGCTGAGGACCCGACCGGTGGCGCTGCTGCTGGTGCTGAGGACTCGGGCGTTGGAGCTCCTACTGGTGCTGAGGACCCGGGCGTTGGAGCTGCTGCTGGTGCTGAGGACTCAGGCGTTGGGGCTGCCACTGGTGTCCCTGCTGCTTCTGGAGACGCTGCGCGGCCGCGACCGTACTTCGTACCGCTCCTTCAGCAGGTTCTTGGTCAGGCTCCTCCTCCTAGTCCTCCTCCCTCCGTCGAGTGTCCTCTGCCTGTCCAGCTGCAGTCACAGTTACCGCCTGCCTCGCCTCTCCCTGCTCCCTCTCCTTACGCTGGTCCCACAGGAGGTCTTACAGAGCGTCGTGAGCCTGAGTCTCGTCCTGCGTCGCCTGTTCGTACTGCTCGCACTGGTCGTCGTGTCCCACGTGAGCGTCCTCCTCCTGTCCCTGGCACTCACTACATGACTCTACGTCCCTCCACTGCTCCGCAGCGTGTCCCGCTGCCGTCTCCTCCTGCGTCCTCTCTTCCTACTCTTCCTGACCCGGAGTCTGACTCCCGTCGTGCTGCCAGTCCCACTGTTACGCGTCTCCTCGCTACAGTTGTCACTGACCCGACCTTTGAGTCCTCTGCTGCGTCTGCTCTTGTCGCTGAGTTGGTTGACTTTGCTGCTCGCTGTCGCCTAGACTACGCTGCCAGCCTTGTCGCTAGGTCTGAGTCTACGTCTGCCT